GGTGGGGATGACTATTTATTTTTATGCAGCAAATTGCCAAGAATTCTTCTTGCATGAGGCCTCAGGAATTGGAATTTGGTGTTCTGCGATTTTGGATAGCCTCTTAACGCCAAGCCAGCGCGGCAGCCCCGTGAGACCGTGGGCACGCTGCGCTTGGAAGCAGCGTGTGGAAGAGGCGCCCGGTGGCGGGTGCCCCGTGCGTCGGGGCCCCGGGGGCAGCGCCGCCCCAGGGGGGTTGATCAGTTCTTCTCTTCTGCAGATAAAGGGACTGGTCGCTCACTTCTTCACTCTGATGCTGTGAGCTCAACAGCCACAACTCCCTCCCGCCTTCACTTACCTTTACAAATGACACCGTAGTTGGCTAATGCGAGCAGTTACTGCATGTATTTGGCAGCGCTTTGCACCGCTCTGGCGTACTGCTTCTGTGGGGTTTGCCTGCGTGAGCAAGATGAGGAGGGAGAGGATCCAATACTGCCAGTGTAACTGCATCCCTTGCCTCAGTCTCAGGCACTTGCAGCAGGAAATCCCCACCAGTCCTGGGGGCTCCGGAGCTGCTTGGGATGGTTCAGGAGAGGTGAAGTGATGCTATGAAGGGCAATGTGCAGGGGAAGTGACGGGACAGGGATTCTGGTTTGAGGGTTGAGAAGGTGCAGTAGGAGACTCGGGAAAATCAGGCACGCTTTTCTGCTCAGTTGTTATCCAGCACGGATTGGCATGCTGGTGGGTTCGGTTATTCTTGCCAAATGAAGTTACAAAATTTGAAACTAGCTACATCTGAGGCTTTGTCACTTGCAAGCAGGATCATCACATTTTCATGCTCACCTGGCAAAATGAGCTGCATTTACCTGACAAACGTCACCCATGGGTGATGTGGTATCTGACCCCTGRCAAATTCTGGAACTTGCACTTCCCAGCAGTGAGTGGTTTCTAAAAAGCTGGTTTGGCCAAACGTCAGCATAACTTGGCTGTTGCTTAATTTAGCAAGAGTTAATTAAGCCGATGCTGTAGTGATGAGTGTGTTAGAAAAAATATAGCAGTTGTGTAAAGTGTATGACTAGAGTGTGCATCAACCTTGGTTTTCTTCTCTTTGTTCATCAAAGGAAATGTTTGGCCCCTGATCCTGATAACCTCTCTCTTTTTTTTTCCTGTTATGATATTCTGTGTGGTTTTTCTTCTTTTTCCCTTTCACTGTCTGTTTTTTCTTGCCCTTACAATAGTTGTGTGTGTGGCTTGGGTGGCTTGTTGAAAGCCCCTGCTGTCACTTCCATATCCCTGCTCTCCTCACTGCGGAGGGGCAGGAGGCCAGACCGCACGTGGGGCTGGCCGTGGCCACCACTTTTCCTTGCCTAGGTGCCTTGCCATCCATATTGTGCAGAGCTGAGTAGGTCTATTTTAAGAGGTCTTCTTTCAGTTTATGTGAGCTCTTGATCTGCAGCGTGGCCGAAGTGTGGGGCTGCTTCAGCTCCGCTCTGCAGCCTTGGGCTCTGCGGTGGGAGCATTTTGTGTTGGCTCAGTCGCCTGGTGGAGGGATCGTAGCGAAACTTGGGAGAGCAGGTCAGGGTGGCGGGTTTGCTGAGGGCGCTGCCTGCAGCCACACGGGCTCTGCTCGCTGGTGGTGCTCATCAGGTGGTTGAGAGCAAGGGCTAGGAAGCGCAGGAGGCCCAGGCGCTTGCGAGGGGGACGCTGGGGCCCCGTGCCCCAATTCTGGCTGCCCTCGCTCAGCATCACGGTGAGTGGGGAGCAGGTTGTAGCCCCGCGTGGTGCTGCCCTCCCCTCTCCGCCTCGTGTCGGTGACGCCTGCCTGCAGGGCACAGATGGAGCTCAGGAGCTGTGTCCTCGCGTGACACCGCGGCTCAAACGGGGATGGGAACAAAACCCGCGTTGCTGGAGGCACGTTTGATGTTCAGCCTTCTTCAGTCGTGGTTTTCATAAGCGTAGTGGTACGGGCTTTTAGAATGCATGAAATAGAAGGAGATGTTTGTCCCTCCCTAATTAACATCATTAGTGTCTTGTCAGCTTGCTGAATATAATTTATACCTCAGAAATCTGGAAGTGATGAAGTAAGAGCTGGCGCAGATGTTAATACACTCCTGATTCGGCCTGACGAGCCCATCATACGTGGTGGAGCAGTTCAGTAACAAATATAAAAAGCAGATGTGAGAAAATGAGCAATGCATTTTTGTTAGCGTCGCATTTGTGGCCTTCACAGTGTGTCCTGCTCTCCAGGTGTCTGGTGGGTGAGGAGGGGCCCGAGCAGAGGGAGGCAGAGCTCTTGGCGGGCAGGAGGTGCCGGGTTGTGCCGCCCCAGCCAGCGAGGCCCTCTCGTCACCTGCGTGGCTGTGAGGAGAGGTGGCAGTCAGCAGGCTGTTGGCACCATGAGGTGTCATAGGGTGCTCGGAGGAAGCTTCTCATCAAAGGTGCTGGCCTGGAGACCCGTGATGGATCTGAGACTATGTTCAAAAGGGCATCAGGAGCCTGTGCCGTGGCTCTGGGTGGCGTTAGGTGAGTAACCCAAGCTGGACRCAGCCCGCAGGAGCTCTGCCCGCCTGCCAGGGACGGGCTGTGTCCGTAACGCAGAGCTGCAGGGCTCTGACGGGTTCCTGTCGCGCGCTGGGCTTGCCTCTGCCTGCGCTCCTATTTCCTCTTCAAGCTGTGACGATTCRGCTACACTTGGCGCTTCTCAAGGATGTTTCTCCGTAAGGTCCAGAGGCCCTTAGCTCTTGAGTCATGGTCGATAAATAATTTTTCATGTGCCTAGGGGCCCAGCAGGACCTTCCCTGAGGTGCAGGACACCTAGATTTCATTTTTTTGACCTAGAAGACAGGAACGGGCATCCTAAGTGAAGAGAGAGGTTTGTTTAGTATTCATCTAGCCTTGTGTCTCTGGCAAGGCCAGTACTGGGAGTATGAGGTATAAATAAACAGCTTAAGAATATAATGCTGCTTATGGGTTTTTTTTTTTTTTAACTTGAAATGCCTGCATCTTTGTGCTGAGTAATGCTTGATGCATTTTCTTACATAAATTCAGATTAGATCTGCTGTGTCTCATAAAATAGACTGCACTTCTTTCATGCAATGGGAGGGGAGATGCTTACAGGAGGCTGCAGCCCCGGGAGCATCTGGAGGGTCAGGGCCCAGCCAGGCCTGAGTCCTGCTTGGGCCACGCACGGGGCGCTCGGACCCGCCGCCTGCTCCCACGTGGGMGCCGAGGGCTGCAGCCGGCGCATCAGTTTTGTAGGTGCCTCCTGGAAGCAGCAGCCCAGCTTGAGGGTGGGCATCAGCATTGGGAAGTCTGAGAAAACAGAGACCTTTCCTGAGACCAAAGACAGTCCCAGACTCTCCTTACCCCTCTGCTGACTACTGCTCATCCCACTGGCTTCTGAGGAGCTGGCAGAAATGGTTGGCTCTGACTCTGATGTCTGGCTGTGCCTCTGATGTAAAACATGATGCAGTGTGTGAACGTCAAATGACTTGTGTCTGCAAGACCCAAATCCAAATGCCCGGGACAATCTAGGAGTCAGACAGCGCAGCGAATCTTAGTGATCTGTTGTGCCATGTTCAGTGACTGCCTACAAGTTGCCCAGCATCGAGCAAGCCTTAGCTTGCTGCACGTTAACCTTTAAGAAAAAACGTTTCACRTTACTCAGCACAGCTAGAATTAAASCCTTAATCATGTTTTCATCGTTGGTTTCCTGGTGGGACACGGGGTGCTCTGTAATAGCTGAGATAAATCTAGAGCGAGTGGCACCAGCTTGGGGACAATTAGAGCCATAACTGACTTCCAGCAGAATCCCTGGAAGTTTAAAGAAAAAGAAGGAAAAGAAATAACCCAGCAAGGTGGTAGTGAGCAGATCCAGAAACTGTGAGGACCTGGGAGGAGTCCCACTTTGAAAGGTTTCCTTTCTGCTTTGCCTTGCAAAGATACTCGCATTGGTGTTTTCACTATGGAAAATGGCATTGCTAGGAGTCAGGCTTGTGTGTAGGCTTTGGTATTGCATGATTTATCTTCAGAAAGCCAATTAGCGCTTGGCTGGAAGTTAATCTCCTGTTTCAGAAGTGTAATTTACATCCTTTGTCTTAGAAGTAGCAACCAAGCAACCACACTGCGGGAGAAAATGTTAAGGAAGAGCTAATACTCGTCTGCTTCTATACAGCTTTTGCTCTATATATTTATATTTCTAGAGGCTTTTTCTACTAAGCTAATATGTATCAGTGTGAACACTGTGTAGAGAGAGCACAACCCCCTGCTGCAGAGCCCCTTCAGGGAGAGAGCTTACTCAGTCCAGGGTGAGCTCTAAAGAAACGGGCGATGACAGACTAGAAAAATGAAGCAAAGATGTGAAATCTTTGAAAACAGGTGTGTGATTCTGCCTTCGGGAACGATTCTGTTACACTTCTGTAAGGCATGAAGGGGAAGCAATCCTATCATACATTGTAAGGCATAAATAGAACATCCATCCTGACTTCTCCTACCGTTCTGAATAGTTGGGAATCAAGCTGGGGCACACTTCATAAAGCAGGGAACAGGCAAAAATGAAACTCATCTATAATCAAGCATGTGGGTGCTCATAGATCTTGCCCACTGCAGGTGATGCCCACTAAAGCCATGATCCAGCCTCCTGGTGTATCAATTTTGTGCTTCACTTTGCTTGCTTTTAGCCAAAACCCTGTTGTTGTAGGCATGAATTAGAAGGATAGTGTTGGCACTGTAATGTGCCCTCCATCTCTGCAATTCTTTCTTTTCCAAACAGTTCTTAGAGCTGACTTCTGCTTACCAGTATCAGCACGGGCCCTGAGCATATTTTTACTCTCTCTCTCATTTTGAGAAGCTTCAAGAGCTGCACTTAGTCACTGGAGGACGTGAAGACTGAGCTGTTCCAGGCACCTGCTGGTGGGAAGGCCCTGCGTGCTGCCAAGTTGCAGTATCCTCTAAACCAGCAGCAAAGCGAGCGTTGGAGCTGGTGCACGGATTGACCTCGGATGTTTGTTTTCCACCGACAGGCTGATGGCTCCGGGAAGCGAAATTCGCTTTGTCCATAAGCAGATGGGTCTGGTCCCCGGCTGGGGAGGAGCGACGCGGCTGGTGCAGCTCGTGGGCAGCAGGGCCGCCCTGCAGCTCCTGAGCGGTGCCCTCAGGGTGGATCCCGAGCGAGCGCTGGGCCTGGGGCTTTCCCAGGAGACGCTGGCGTCTTCGGTGGAAGCGGCGTCCCTGGAAGAAGCCCGAGCCTGGCTGAGTCGCTACACRGACGCCCCGGCCAGTGTGATTCAGGCCATGAAAAAGGTGGTGACAGCAGGAAAAGAGCTGCCGCTTGCAGCTGCCTTGAGGACAGAGAGGGACGTTTTCGGATCGGTGTGGGGAGSGCCTGCCAATTTGCAGGCGTTGCTTCAAAGAACAAAGCACAGGTGATGTGCAGGGTGTAAGAAATGTTGGTGATCCCACAGCTCTCGCTGGAGCAGACCTGAAATTGAGTCATTTAAGAACTTGTTCATTTAAACTGATACTAACGTTGCTGTGTCTCACATCAGGCAGATGTGTTTGCTGTGCAACCACAAGGAAATCCTCTGCAGATTCTTTAATGTTCTAATCACTCATTGAATGGGGATTAGTGAAATTAGCATGTAAAGGTAAGTACTGTGCTGAGAATTAAACTATTAATTCTTCTGGAATGAGGCCGAAGACTTTCTTTGGAGTTAATTTTRTTTTTCTAATTGGTATGGAAATGAATTGCTTGGGAGAGAAGTTTTATTTGCAGAACAGGTGCATCTAAAGCTGCACAATTAGTTGTTCAGCATGTGACCAGTGTCTTAAAACAGCTTTGATGGGACAATAAATGATGAGTAGATTCTTTTTTCTTTYTTTTTTTTTTTTTTTTCCTTCCATCTCCAATCAATTCTTGGTGTAATTGCTGATACTGTAACCGGGGACTTTGAACCTTGTGGTAATTTTTACAGAAGCAGCTCTAACACGTTCAGGCAGTTGTAGCCTTTGTTCACCACTCTGGATCCAAACCCTTCAACACGTTTAGGTGTCCCCTTGCTACCATAGGAATCTGATTCCATCTGAGCCATAGGCGAATTCCTGTGGTCTGGATCAGTGCCGCTGGGCACGTGCAGCGGTGCCAACCTGACTCCTCTGCTGAGGAGCCTGCTGCAGTATTGGAAAGCCATGACATGCAGCTCCCCAAAATGGTTTTCCTTTATTGGACAGTGATTCCTTCTGTTCTCTTGAAAGACTTCTCTATGGATCTCTCCGGTCAGGCCCTAGGACAGAGTATTTTTACTGGTAGGGCATATTTAGGTTGTGAAAGACCAAAGGAYTTGGAACTCGGACTTCAGCGACTATGCGAGTAGTGAAGTAATTCAGTGGGGAGGATTTTCTCTTCAGAAATCAGAGGCTGAGACTGAGCCCCTGCTTGGGCACCTCGGGCTTGATTCAAAGCAAAACGTGTCCGAGAGCAGCACCCTGCGGCGCTGCCCGCGGCCGCCTGTGCTGCAGAGCAGGGCGCCCTGGTCCCCAGGCCTGGGCGGCCTCAGGTTGGAGCCCCGGGGTCAGCGAGGGCTGTGGGGMGCGTGGCGCTGAGCGGCGTCCTCGCTGCCTGCCCAGCGGGGCTGCGGGGACGGGGCCTGGCGCACGGCCCCTCAGCGGAGGCACGACATTCCTCGGATGGAAATGCGTGTATGGCCTCTGCAGGATGGCAGCGTCCCTCGGGCTTAGACCGTAGGGGAACTAACGAAGGGTGCTGGAGGATCTCGGGCCGGGTTAGCTAAGGGCTTTGGGTTCTGGGTTGCCTGTTAGACTCCTAACGTGGAAGCAGATCCTTTGACCTGCTGGGGCTGTTTCACCGCAGGCCTTCAYGATGGGAGGCAGGAGCAGCCAAGAGGCTGAAGGGAGCGAAGCCTGTTCCGAGCTGGCTCCATCCCGACGGTCCTGGCTGAGGAACTTGTTCTCTCCGTTGCTCCTTYCTCTTGCCTTTGCACCTGAATGTGCTGCTGGAGGGAAACTTCGGTAGTTTTCTCCTCAAAATAAAGGGTTTTATTTGCAGTTTAAAGCGGAGAATGGGGGGAGAGAATTGATCTGCTTTGTGTGCTTTTTTCCACCAATAGCTCACTTTTTTAAAGTTCTCTGGATGATTCTCTCTTGTACTCTGTGGGATTTCAAGCACAAGACTTCTGAAATAAAGGTATTTTAATACAGTAAGGCATTACTGGGCTGTTTAGTGTTGAAACTGTTCCACTTTTCATAAAGCTTTTAAAGATTCATGAGGGATGGATTCTGGAGCCTGAGACCCTTGAATCATTGTCATTTTTCAGATGTCAGATTGTAAATGATATTAATAATATTCCAAGTACTAGGTGATTTAAAAGGGATGAAACTGTAGGAGAGAAAAATGAATTGCTTGTACCTTTGCTCTCTGAGCAAAACATGTGCTGCCAGCAAGTGAAATGCAGTATCTGAATCTATTGGAGACTTCTTTCCATGTTCACGTATAGACAAGGAGCTTATTCCTCATTTCAGACAGTGCAATTACCTAGCCCTCCTCTCCTGTGTCACAGGCCAGTGGTTGGGTCTAAGAAAAGCACAAATAATTAACTAGTACTAGGAAGCAGCAGGACACCCTCAGGAACTCATTTCATCTAGGTCAGCTGGATTCACACATGCACCAAACGCAGCTCATTCCGTAGTCACAAGAATGGAGTAGTTCTGATCAGGGATTTTGTGAGAAGCTTCACGAGGGGTTGTGTTCATGTAAGCTTACTTTCTGTTTTGTTCTAAAGCAAATAACTGCAGCTTTTCATATGAAAACCAACCCCCCTGAGCCATCCTGAGTGCTAACAAGGGATGGCTCCAGACTGAGTCGCATAAACTGGCATTATTTTTGTCTGTTTCAAACCTAACTTTGTTTCACAGAGCAGCCGCTTATCACTTAAACAAACACCTACAACCTGTAACTGATATTAAAGACAATGAGATTTGTATTTTCAGCTCCATCAGAAATGCCCCAAGCAAGAACAAACCCAAAGTAAGTGCACAGCAGAAATCCGCAAGCTGCGCGGGGCAGCGTTGCTCGCAGCCGCCTGCTCAGGCGCTGCCCTCGGCGCGTCCCGGGGCTCCGCGGCAGCTCCCTCCTTCCTTCCTCGCTGCTGCACTGCCAAGCGCAGACCGCAGACCTTGGTCCCTGCCCTGTGCACAGGGGCAGGCTGAGCTCCCAGCCAGGCTCTAGCTGCTGGGCCGGGCGGTGAGCGGTTGGATCGTGTTGCCCGCGGGATCACCGCCACCATAGGGACACGCTGTCACCCTGGCTGCTGCCTGTCTGTTCACAGAAGCACTCTTGCCCCAGGGGCCATTTCAGTAAGAGCATCTTGCTAAGCTCAGCCTGGGCTTGTAGTGAGGTGGTTTACCRGGAGATGGGATTCCTGCGGCTGTGGCTGTCTCTGCTGAACGTGAGGAGRGGCGATACAGGTTGACATCAGCATCCTTTCCCTTCTGCTCTAGTGCGCACGTAATGCAGCGTAGCTGTGSCTACTTGTACTTGTGGTACAAGTGACAGGAGAAGCGCGTGTCCTGCTGGAGGTAACGGTTTAAATAAAAAGCAGAAACAGTAACTATTAATTCCCACTTGATCTGCAGCATGCCCTTGCCTCTCTGGTGTCTGGCTATTAAGCCCTTAGCAGCCTGACTTCTTTACCTGATCTTAGTAGTTCACAGCTGCAGGCGGCCAGCAGGAGCCAAGGGCAACGTGCTGGSTGTTGGGCTGAGGATGAGGCCGGTCTCTCTACTGCAGTCAAGAGCCTCCAAGGACAGTCGCAGATGAAATTAGTTCTTGGAGGCTTTGGGGGCTGAAAGTCCTGAGAAGTTCTGTATTTTGCCTTTTGCTTTTAACAATACATGCCTTCACATTAAGAGAAATGCATGTAAGTACAGAGGAAGTGCTCTCATAAAAATATTCACTAGTACAARTTGATTCTGATTAGAGCCACTGCTTACTCAAAACAGAAAGCAGCAAGCAAGCTAACAGCTGAAGAAAAAAAAAATCCCAATCCTCTGTTCCCTTTTAAAATCCAGGTTACTGTGTGCTAACGGAAGTCCATGTGTAGCTGGCAAATAAAAGTTTGTGTCCATCCTCTCCTGCTGCTGCTCTCCTTGCTCCTCTTTTTCTCACTCCRTATCTACTAATTTACTTTCTATCTATCTCTGCTGTGGAGAAAGGACCCAGAAACTCAAGAACCTGCAAGGTTCTGCCCATAGCAGGCATGGATGGAAGTTGTCATCTCAGGCATGACCCCGCGCTGGCTTAAAATGGAGAAATTCAGTCCATGATTAGAACAAATAAGTAAAACCTTCCATTTAATTCTCTTCAAATGGAAGTAGATCTAAGCACCTTCTGAAGTACTTACATAACTGCTATTACCTTCTTCCATTCAGGGACACACACATTAAGAGTCACACTTGAATTCCCTTTTTCTTAAATGCAAAGCTTGAAATCAACTGATGCTGCTTCTTGATTTACAAAATTGAGAACAATTACCATAGACAAAAAGCAAGCTGTGCTTTTTCRAGCTCCAGCTTCCTCCAATTCTGTAATCTGCACAAGTTGTTGTGCAGCATTTGGGGCTAATCCCGGAGTTGCGTGTCCAGTACCTGCACAAAATCCTTGCTGTGCTGGCACTAGCTTTGCTCAGAAGAACAGGTACAGAGCCCTTGAGTCCTTAACGTTCTTCACTATAAGATCCAGTTTGATTACTTAACCCTCTTTTATTTCAGCATGGTTTCTGCTGCTAAAATTCAGGTTCTGTGGAGCACTTTTGCCCACTGTAAGAGCTGATCAGCTCACTTTGCTGTTAAGATGAGAAAAGGCAAACATTAAGCCCCCCTGTTCTTGTTATTTCAGCAGAGACACAGACGGACTCCTGTGGCCTTAGGCTGAAACAGTCAGAGAGGCCAGAATTTCAAGCCAGCATCCAGAACGCATTCTCCCTTTCAGCAAGCACAGGAAGCTGGTTTAGGGTAATTTTGTTTAATGTTCCCTCAATGAAGTTCAACTCAAGTGGAGACATATCCACTACTGTTACTGATAAAATGTAGTTTTATTAAATTATAAATTCCGTAACAAAAACGAGACAGATCAAGAAAGACCTCAAAAACAAAACTACAAGGACTAGATGGCAAAGCCAGTGAAAATGCCATGAAAAGTATATAGGTAAAGAGTCTGCAACAAAAGTTAATAGCATTTTTACATTTCCACTGCAGGAAGGTAATGACTGCTCTGTCTAGTAGAAACACATTTTAACTCCAAGCTCACATCTATTTTTCTCACATTAATTTAAGCCTCTTGCTCACACCCAACACCTTGTCCGCTCCCACATTCCTTTAGTGTTCTTTTCATACATCAATCCATGCAGAAAGTAGTAAGACACTTAATGCAACAGTCAGATAATGAAGACAATTCAAGTTGTACAGTAGATATACATTGGCCAAAAAGGGATCAAGGAATTTCAAGGGGAAAATTCTACAAAATGAACACAAGACATTTTCAAGAAAACTGGGTATTGCTAAGCAGCTTTCCAACCATCAACCAGGCAACCCAGTTTCTTACAGTTAGAGCCTTCCAGCYGAGACATGTTAGTGAGACTTAAGTTAGAGAGGCCAGATCCACTTCTCCCCTTCACCCATCTCCCCGCAGCGTGCCGCGAGGTGGAGTGTGGTGCCGCCGCAGATAGCCAGTGTACAGACCCAGCACCGAGTTTTTACTTTAAACCTCCGTCACGGTGCACTGTCCGTCCGGCCGCCTCGCGCTGGCGCTGCTGCCGGCAGCTCCGTCCCGCTCCGCTCCCGCCTGCGTGGCGCTCGGCTGCCTCCGCGGGGCCGCGCCCGGGCTGGGCAGCGCGTCGGGGGCGGCCGCAGCCTCGCTGTCACTGCTGGCATCCGACTCGGTTTCCTCCGCAGAGGCGTCGGGCGCCGGCACCCTGGCGGCCGCCGCGTGGCCCTCCTGCCCCTCCGCGCTGTGGCTCCTCTCGGCGGCGCTCTCCGCGCCCAAGTGCAGCTGCGCCAGGGAGGTCTCGAGGGCGGCGCTCGCGTCGGGCGAGGGCGGCGAGGGGCTCGCGGGGTGGGCGGCGCGCGGCGGCAGCGGCCTCGCGCCGCCCGGCGGCTGCCCGGCCGCGGCGCCCGGCGTCACGGCCTCGCTGTCCGCGCCGTCCGCGGAGCTCTCGCGCGCCGCCGCGCCGCTGCCCTCGCAGTCCAGCCGCAGCCCGGCCACCCCCTTCTTTGGTATATCCGCTATGTCCCGCTTGATTTTCCTGCGCCGTCCATGCTCGTTTCTCCTATACTGAACCATATTTTCGAGATCCGCTACGTATAGAAACCCAGCAATTAGCATTTCAGTGCTCTTTTTGCCTTTGGAAAAGGCATCTTCCAGCTCTCTGCTGGTACGTTCATCGTACTGCCACCAGCCGTTTCTGCCTTCGTAGTACCAGGCATACTCGCCATTGCCCCTGCTCGCCGCCTTGAGTTCCTCGGGCGACAGCAAGGTCGGCTTGTCAAGGAAGTCCTCGGGAATCTCCTGCCGGCAGAGCGCGCAGCGCTTCCCGAGCCACGAGGCCCCCTTCACGCACAGGTAGCAGAAGACGTGCTTGCAGGGCAGGCTCACGGGGTGCACGCACGTCTGCAGGCAAATAGCGCACTCGGGCACGGGCAGCGAAGGAGCGGCGCTGGCGCAGGACTCGCCYGCCTTCCTGCTGGTGGGAAGCATGTTGATGGAATGGTCCACTTCGCCGCAGCCAGCCATCCTGCGGAGCAGCAAAAACACAGCCCCTCAGTTTACTGCATCAACCCCAACTGGTACCTTCACCCCTGACAGCACCACCCGCGTACCTTCAAGAAAAGGAAAAAGAAAAGACCTTCAAGATCATCGGGTCCAAGTGTAATCTCTTCAACATCACTGTAAGATGCTTACCTTAAATTAAGGTATTGTTTATGAAGGCCAACTTTTAAAGAGAGCAACAGGTTAACATTCTGTTTCTGGAGCCGAGAGATCAAATGGAGCACCTGGAGACTCCTTGCCAGTGGCCCATCTCTCCGTTTCGCTCCCGGGACGTTGCCACGCCACGTTATCCAGCAAGYGCACAGAGCTTGCACAGTTCTGGTCACTGAGCGCTCCTGCGCTCCTCCTGCCTCCCAGGCAGCTCCGCACACTGAGCCCACCTGGAACTACCACTGCGCTGCAGAATGCACTGGAAACCAAAGTGGCTTGTTCAAAAAATACCTACATTTCTTTTTCCTGAACACTGGGTCAAGAATTCCCTGGTACTGCTGTGTGCAGCTCAGGAAGAACCGTCTCAGTCCAACGGAAGGGCAGGTATAACGCCGAAGCTGAAGTACTTAACAGCACTGCACTTTGCCTGGTTTGTGAAGGCATCGCCTCTACCTTTCCTCGCCGTGTCCTATCGCTCTTATTCGATTCTGTTGAAGTGATTCTTGTAATTGACTGTACAAAGAGCAGACCAAACAAACAAAAAATGCAGAGCAGGGCTCCTTTGGCAGTCTGTGGTATTTCAGGGATGGAAAGATTCTAGTCAGAACATGGAAGTTTCTTCTCACCTACATTTTAGCCACCACAATGTCTCTCAGTATATTCAGTGAGGATTTTCTTTCTATGTTTGTATATACAAACAATCCAAAAGAACAGATTKCACATAAAGGAAAAGGGATTTGGGGATTGGACCTAAAAAGAGCTGTTCTATTATTTCTGTGCATCTCACCAAGGAACATTCAAGCAAAACTGCCTCTCAGCAAAGCCAGTCTTCATYGTACTGGGAGCTGAGAAGAGCTCACACAAACTTAACACAGAGGAGAGGGAAGATCTAGAAGGGGCATCTGGAGGCTTTCCAGTCCAGTCTCCTGTCCTACATGGCAGTACAGCACACACAAGACTGCATCAGCTGCAGATTTTCATAGCCTGCTTTTCTGGAGCTGCTAAGGATGGAGTTTCCGCAGGCTCCCGAGCCACCCTGGCKCTGGGGTTGCACTGCACTCCCAGTTAAATGCCACCTCAAGGGAAAAATTCTTAGCGTTACTGAAAAAGCTTCCCCTGATTTAAATATCTTATGAATCCATGCTGAGAATCAAAAAAAAAAAAAAAGGATTATGTGATTATGTTTCAATATCTATATTTATCTTTGATTTATCTTTGTAACAATGCATTTAAATGCCATTTACTTAAATGTATTTGTTTGTTTAAATCGTTTAAATCTACTCTACTTGCTGGTCTATCGCTATAATTTCCTCTCGGAAGACCAGTACCCTTCTTCTCTCTAATCCAATTCATCAGGACATTCTTCTAAAACCTCTACAGTCAACATTTTTTTCTGAAATAATACACAATTGTGTCCACGTATGCTTCAGTTTCTTAACTGAATCTCTTTAAGATTAAAACCAAATTTTAAATTTGGTTAAATTAAACCCAAAATTCGAGATTAAACCCAAAGGTATATACCAGTTCGTAGATCATCCTGCCCGATGCAGACCCATGGTTACCACCCAGCAACTTCTTTCTACTTCACAGAACACCAGTGTCGGTGAAACCCAGACTAACAAGGTTCTGAACAAGCTGCTTTCAGGAAGCCTCACACTTTTGAAGTACTTTTTAACAGAATTTTATATGAAAACCTTTTTAAAAAAAAAAATAATCAAAAGCTTAATAGTAAGAGGTGGGAAGAAAAGCTATTAAGATTCAGAATACCCAAGAATACAATTCAATCTGTTTTTTCTCAATAGAAAAAAAACGAAAAAAAAATCCATGTATTGATTCACTCGTGCCAAGCATGGCTGAGGGAAAGCGATGTGGGTTTTTGAGTGCTGCTACAATGACATGCTGCTGTGCAAAGAGTCACAGAGATTTTCATTTCCATGCTACAGTTTACAAAAGACTTCTTCTCGCTGGATATGCTTCATAAGGCTTTGACTTTTCAGAGTCAAAGAAAAGATTAAACAACCTGCAGATAAGTAACTTATTACAAGCAGTCTGTCATAATTAAGATGACAGAGGCTGCTGAGACTAAAAATACAACTCATTTTGACATGTCAAATTATGGTGCCATGAAGTAGCTTAGAAAACTAAACGCTGAATGAAGTTCTCACCTGCTCACTGAAAGTACAAACACCTTTGAACTGGGCTCAAGGGGCCAACCATTAGTTGGGGGGGGGGGGGGAGGCTTTTGTTACTTTTTAGGTCAAATCAGGAATGCAGCATGTAAGAAGAAAGGAGCGAAAGCCCTACTTGAAATTCCTAAGCAATTCTTAAAAGACTTAGAGGAAAATGTTATATGCAAAGTGAATACAGTCGGACAACTAAACCCTTATCTCTAACAAAGCACCACTCGGCAATATAAAACTTTTAAAAGATAAGAACAACTGCAGTTGCAWGTGCCCAGAATACAGGAAAACCAGACCCTTGAAGATATAAAACCAAAAGGTTTAGCTGATTTAAAAGAAAACCCTCATTAATCGTTTTCTGTTTACCTTTTTAAGTTTCAAAACTACCACTACGAGTTTGTTTATAAGCATGCACAAACACACGTGGCTGTCACAACCCTCAGAAAGGAGGAAAGCACTACTTTCATGTAGCACTACTATTATGATCAGTAAGTTAAGGCTGTAGAAGCACTTGCATTCCAACCCCAGGGCATTAAGAACTAAGTAACATTGACCATGGAATGTTTTTTTTTCCTGGAATTAATAGTGATGGATTATAACATGGCTGGATCAGARAAGGCTTCATATTAGAACTGTTGTTACCAGCCGTTCCGCATTCTGTTTTCAGAGGGCTGGGTGTTGTTTGGAGAGCTGGGTTCTGTTAATCATTCTTGACAATGGAGAAAATTACATTACTGAACAGCACACCTACAAATTAACCAATCTTTGCTCCAGGTTTTAAGAACAATAGTATATGAAGGGGTTGGATTATCAGCTGAGGTATAAATAAGGGAATAATGAACATCTGAATGCTGCAATTTAACACAAATACAGCCCCGAGCCATCTGAGAAGGAACTAGTCCACCCTTTCACCAGATCCCACCTTTCTTTATTTTGTTGAATTACTGGTAAGTCATACATTAAATTTTTTATGCTTAGAGGACACACCGCCTCGACCGCCTTCATCAACATACAGAGCACACGCTCCCGAGAGATGACACACGAGCACTATGTGCAGAGTCACCAGGCCTCCCGAGAYGCTGTGAAAGGGAGGAAAATTCTCACAGAAATCCGCCCAGAACAGCAGTTTTTTCAAACTCCCGGCCAAATTCTGAATCGCGCCTCTGGAGCGGCTCAAGGCGCTGACTTGTGCAAGGCAGTCGGCAAGGGAAGGACAGCTCGGTTTTGTGGGCGAGTTCTGCTGGTGCGCGCCACCGCCTGCAGTGTCCTCCCTGCTGACGCGCACAGCTAGGCTGGCAGGTCCCTTTCCCACAGCGGCCTCGTTACTCACTTGTCCTGCCCAAAGCAACACTGCAGTCTTTCGGCCTCGCTGCAAACTAATGGAAAGCAAATATTACCACTATTACAAAAATGTTGAATGGAGGCATGAGTGAGCAAAATACACCACCACRTTGCTGTTACAGAAGAGAAATTAGTATTTCATCTACCTGATGCATGCTATTCTCAATGTATAAAAACATTACCATCACAATTTTTTTACAATGACCCATTTTGGTCCTCATTTTGATAYCTTTTGTAATGCTTTAGAAAAAAAGGAATTAGCTAAAGTCAGGTAATTAGCTATAACAAGTGAATGCGTCATTTTCATAAAGTAACCATGTAGACAAAGGAGAAACAAGTTAGGAACATGCAACGTTTATGCTAGTCTAACCTCTGATAAGGGACTTCATAAATTCAGAGATTTACTGTGGCATCCTAGGTCTCTATATAAAAATATCCATATCACATCATTACAATCCAGCCTTACATCTCATCTCCAACAAGAGCCTCTGAAAACCAGGCAGGAACCCGGGCCAACCTCCACTCCCTCCGTGGTAACACCCCCCTCTTCAGACTGCCMGTTCCTGCCAGCCCCAGTGCATTTTGCAGTATGGCACTTACCAACCAGAATCAGATTCATTTCACTMGGGCAAATCAATCACTGGAAACCATTAAGAGTCTAACTGTTACCTAAATAACGCTACCGGAGGGAAACAGGGATCTGCAAAGTCAAGGAGAGCAGGGAGACTGGGGAGGTTTCAGGGTGGCAGTCTCACACTTCAAGCTCCAAGTCCTGACCTAAAAAAAAGCAAGCAGCTACCTTTGGTTARAGAAAATATTCATGAATCCTCTTTGAAAACACTGATGAGCCATATATCTGTACTTGCTCCTTTTCTGAGCTGTAGCCTTTTCAGGATGGTTCCTAAGGAATTTGAACCACAAACTCTGACTGCTGCAAAATATGTCATATATAGAAATGCTCTGAAGCAGAACCTGGGAATGTCACATTATTAGTCTTCAACTTGCTCCACTTACACCATTTCCACCATAAACATGGTGCAGAGTTCAGCCTGATGTGCAGAGCAGAGCCAAGTCAAAGCACAGCACCTCTTAGAGAACACGAAGCATTTAGGATGACAGTATCCTGGGCTGTATCCCTTCATAAAGCAATCGAACATTTATTACTGATAACAGACTTTTTTTTTTTCATATGGCCTCAGTGTAAAATGCATATTCAAAATATTTTTATATAGCTCACTTCCACATAGCATTCAAGGTAGCTATTTTTGGAACGAGTTCCTAAGGAAGAAAATGCAAAATTAACTTGCCTACCCACTTACCCTAACACCTTTGTGAAAGGAGCAAGATTCTCCCCTCATCATTGCAGTCACTTCCCCTTTCTTCGCRCAGCCATCTAAAAGTAGGAGCTGCAACCACATGAAAATCTCAGCTCTGCTGATCCGCTCAGACTGGATGCCACGATCGCCACGATCAAAGAGGGAGCTGCACCAAGCCGGGTGCTGGGGTGCGGCGCTCGCTCCTTCATCTCCGAAGCCGCCACCTCTTCCTCCTGCAGGTATCGCTCCAAGCCTTTTATCAACTCCCTCTTACCAGCCACTATCAGGGGAGGCACATCACGCAAGCAAACGTTGTGCGAGAAAGAAGTTGGGTCAGTTCTGGCAGACTTCTTAGGAAATAAAAACGCAAGCACATATTCACAATATGTAATTATACCTAGAAGAATCCAATTAGAAAGTTGCCTTACTATAATCCTATAATTATACCCTAATTGCTGCATGGCTCTTAAAAAGAACTAGTTCACAAACTGACTTCAGGTAACCTCTACATTTCGTTAAATTGTTATTTATTAAATAAGTCAATCCTGAAGATTTTACTCAACAGGATAAAAGGCACTTGTGGTTACACCCACCCCCCTTCCTGAACTCATCCTCCTTTAAGCTAAGTGGGGAAGAGCCGCCTTCTGCCCTGAGCAATTGGCTTCCGCCTGTGCAGTATGAGAACTTAGTCCCCAAGAGCCCCTTCCTTGTCACCCTCACCAAATCCACAGGTCCTCTCCTGCTCCACTTTCAAAAACACCCATGCAATACACAGACAAAGGCCGCCCCACTGGCTGGAACGGGGTGGAACACCACCCACGAACCAAACTCAGCATCACCGATGGGGTGACAAACAACTGCCCCCAAACTGATGTTTATTCAGCGTTTTAACTAAAAACTTCCTCCCCCTTACAAYCCTCTAGGGACATCGACTGGAAAGAGTCACGTCAGCTTCTTCCTCACAAACTTGGGATTTTGAAGTGGTGTCTTCCTATATCAGGCCTTTCCCCTAAATTGTAACTTGAGGCCTTTCCCAAGGCAAATTTTAAGCTTTTTACTAGACCAAGATGATATAAAACTATTTCTTGCCAGCTTAGTCAGATTTTCGATATGCAATCAGACTCGAGACTTATTTTTTTCCTCCCTCATTCTTGTCAAATTTTTTAAGATTTAAATCCTACAGCAAATGGCAGACAGCTTCACATTTTCTTAAATGCTGTGAAGATGATTCTACCATRGTTATCACAAATTCACTGCTTGTCCCCATGGGTAGAAAACTCAGCCGCTACAATGTTATTTCAGAAAAGTAAAGAAGCTTCTGTAAATAGGTAATTTTGCAGCAAGCTCCCTAACTTACTTGGGAGGGTAGGAGGGAGGAGAGAGCAGGGGGAGAGAATTACCAGGTGCTGCCCTCTTGCTTACAAGTCATCACAAACCACACAAATACTGTGGAAGAAAGATAGGGATTCTTTTTTTTTAAAAAAAAAAAAAGAAGTAAACCATCCAAGCCATCCTCCTATTTGAAAATCTGATACTGTCAATATAATATCAGTCATTTGCTGTTACAGGGTATTTGACAGTATATCCTGTTTCCTGTTCACAGCCAGTCTCTTTTCTGTATCTGTAGGAATTTAGTAATTCCTGAAGCCCTTCGGAGACTATGTGAGATTTTAAATTGCCTGCAATCTGCTAATTAAAAACAAACAACAAGAAAACAACACATCTAAACACTTTATTCAAACTGAATTTCTTCTCCCCTGCTACAGCTGGAACACTGAATCTGAATTTTCATCATATATCATATTTCAATATGATCTAATATCATATTCGATATATTTAATAGAACAACATCTCAGTTTACCAGCCCATAAATAGAATGACACTGTCTCAAAGTCCCTGTAGGAGAGGCGAGCAGAAATAGGTCTGTGTCCCAGCTTATCAGCACGTCGGGAACAGAAGGTTCACACAGGAGCATCTTTAGGCTTGATTTACATGCRCAGAAGGGGAGGGGGAGGAAGAGAAATCAATTCCAATAAGAAGACTTTATTCCCACCCAATCCTGGAGTCCATTGTTTAATAGCCTTGAAAAACACTGCAGCTCCATCTCTTTAAGTAAGCGACAATTCATTAACATATAATTGATGGTGTATATTTTTAAGGAAACAAAAAGAGCACTTTTTTTCTCCCTCACCCAGCACAAATTCTGCATTACAGCAATTTAAACAACTGGTGCCTTAATTCAGCTGGAAAGGGAGCGCAATATTAACCACAGAGGACTATAAAGCAAGCTGTTGCAAATGGTCAGTATTTAAGATGGTTCGGAAYGACCGGATCAGAATCCGGGCTTCGCTGTATTCTCAGTACGATTGTAACAGTYCGGTTTTGATGAAAGCTGCCTGAGAGCGCCTCTAGAAGCACATTCAGTAGCCCACTGAGAGCAGCGGCAGCAGCTGACAACGTAGGAGGGCTATATTTTTAGTATTACAGATCTGACAAGCAAGGCAGTTTAAAGCTCTGCTCTCTACTCCTCCTTATAAATATTCTATGTATACTTGCATACTACACCAGTCATGAATCCTCCAGCATTCCTAGTCTGTATAACAGAAAAGTTACCCTAAGATTACAAAAGAAAGGCAAAAAAAAATTAGTTTTTATTGTAGTTGTGCAATTCCAGAGTTGGGCACGCTCTGACAAACACCACTTCCCAATTTACAGATTATTTTGTAGCCATTTTTCAGTGGCAGTTTCAACACACGCTGCACCAGCAGTGGGACCTATTTTCCCATCCCATGCAGGCAGCGTGGAAGGACAAAACCCAGACCCAACAGCGCAGAGCACACACAAACAGACGCTTTCCCCCAAAACCCTCTCTGCACCTGCTTCCCGCTGCGCTCCTAAGGAGCGCACGCGATTTCTGCTCCAGTTTAATGGGTCTCCTCGGGGCAACCAGAGCAACGCGCTCCCCCGTTTTTGGGGGGGGCGAAGGGGGTTATTTAAAGGCCCCACGAGGCTGTCTGGGGACGAGGGCTCCCAGGGAGCCTCAAGCCGGAGGCCGGGAACCTGCTTCACGATCATGGAGTGATCCAGGCGAACTGAGTGAACCGAGGCCCAGATCCAAGGGTGTCACCCCGCTCGACGCGCAGCAACATACATACATATACATACATA